ACATAAATATTAAAATATACATCCTTTTGTCTCTTTTATTCGCATACAACTATACAAGTATCTGTAGATATATAACTGCCCAAAAGAATTTTTGAGAAACTACACAAGAATTCATCAATTATGCTCACTTAATATTGACATGGGAGTTTTGGGCAAGACCATGACAAGATGAGACATGATGGCCTTGGGACATGTCCAAAGTGGCATTATCATGTTTAAATTAAAGATAGAATAGAATGCAATTCCTTAACATGCATGAGAATAAAAGTAAAGATCATTACTTTGTTATATGTTTAATTGTTTTTTATACTTTTCCTTTAATGTTCTTACATGGATTCAGGAAAAAGAGTATAGAGCATGTGACAACCCCTAGCAAGAAGTACTTTGTTCAGTTTTCATTTCCCCTTTTTTAAATAAATCTATATTAAGTGCATGAATTATAGATATTTCCCTCCTTCAAACATAAAAAGTATATGATCATATTTAAATTAACAACAACATATATAGTCAATTCCTTCTTCATGACTCTTTTCTCAAACTCCTTTACTTCCCTCATTTTTTTCCTAAATGCATAAAAGTACAAAAATCATTTAGACATTCCCTATTTAATCACAAAAGGAATATTTTATTATGAGATGATTTTGAATCTCACATCTTGACACCAATCACATTCCTTTTATTTTTCTTTTATTTTTTTTTCCCTCCCACCTTTTGTTTGCTTTGTGTCTTTCTTGTCTCCTTTTGTCTTTCTTTACCTCTAGGCCTTGCTTTTCCCTTTTTCTTCCCTTTTGATTTCATACATATGTAATTTAATAAATTACATATGTAATAAATTACATATCATAACTAGTGATTGTGTACAAGATGTAATTCATTCAAAGAGGCCTCCCAAGAGTGAACTCAAGATTAGGATTCTCTTTCGGGCTCGTTCGTGATCCACTCGATAAAGGGCTCGTGCATTTTCGATCCGTATCCTTCTGTGTGCATGCAAGTAAAATACATGAGAAATTATGTAATAATTACAAGTGCGTTCAAGTACGAGGTATGATTTTGTAATAAAAGTGGATACAAGGTTGTATATTGCAATTAATTAACATTGCCCTCGTGTTTGCACTTTGTTTGCACCCTTTACCTTTCGCAAAAGCAATAATTTTTATCATTTTCTATGAAGATCTTTCTTTTGGGCTTTTACTAGCTTCTTTTGTCCCAACTCACAAAGTCTAAGAATAAAGAGATAGGGAATTATAAATGTTTTACTGCCTTTAATTGGGGAAAAGCTCCCATCTTTAGCTTTTGGACACATTTAAGTATTATCATCAACACATACACAAAGTGGGTATTTTTTTGTAATTTCAATGTGAAATTTCCAAAAGTTACCTCAATGGATTGTATGTATCCTACTCCATAATCCCCCTTTCTCCCATGCATCCAAGCTTCCCTGCTACAAAAATTAGAACAATATTTATATATTTCCATTTAAAGAATAATAATAATTAATGATCATATAAAACAAAAGGATGCTAATCTTTTAGNGTGACAAGACATTAGTAACCATGCATATAATGGACCCCAATAGGAAAAAAAGAAAGAAAATGGAGAGAATAAATAAAGAAAAGTCTCAATGACAAAAGTCTAATTAGCTTTGGTGCCTAGATTTCTACATTTGTGTCCTTTTGGGATAAGCCTAATTGAACCCACAAAATCCAATATATAGAAAGAGATGTGTCTTTTTATAGATAAAAAACTTCATGTTTAAGTTTGATACCAAAGGGATATAGTAGCAAATCTATATATTGCTAGACGAGAAGAAAGATGCAAGATGAATGTACTTTTTCATTTCAAAAGTAATATTATAATCTAAAATTCAATTTTCCCGTTAAGGCTCGAGAATATTAATTTTTTTTACACAATTTTCTGAACTCTTTACTCGAGTTTATCTCGCTGACATTGATAAATGAGCCAAGCACAGGCTCATTTATTCTCTTATTTAGTTGACGAACTGAACTCTATTTGACTCGATTAAGGCTCCAATAAGCTCCCTAATTTAGTTGACGAATTGAACTGAACTCTATTTAACATAGTTCCTTGACTATGGGTAATTGTATATATTATAAAAAAAATATATATATATATATATATATATTTTCCTATCTATTATTGTCCATGATCCAACAATTATTGAATGGACTGTGACCGACAGCAGACTACGCAGTGCAATTACCATGCGTTTCTCTATGCCTTCCAAAATCTTTAATGCAATTGTCAATTTGTCATTGCTACTATTTTTTGAATTGATATAATGGAAAATAGTATTCAATAAATAAATGCAGCTAATTATTGAGTCTTGAATTTAAAATGGCATTAAAATATTGGTCTTATACTAATCATATATACAGGTGCAAGATCCTTGCCACATTAAAAACGCTACAAATTCTACAACCGTATAGAACTATAGATAGATGTATTAGATTAGATCTCTTTATTCCTTTAATTCCACCATCCACCAGAATTGTAATTATTGTGACCTAATAATATATTGAAAAATTATGAAATATATTCAAGTTGATAACGAAATTGTTCAGTACTTTTTTATGATTATATAAAATGTAAATAACTGACAAAAGTTATTAGATAAATTTGTCGCATATTTTGCGATTTTGTCTTGAAGTACTGTGTAATTTTCCAAGGCTTATTTATTTTGAAGAAAAATTGAATATGCATACACGTCGCAATAATTTTTTTTTTTTATTATGATCTTCTTTATCATGAGAATAATGTTGTTTGTGCTGCCCAACAATATATGAATATGAATATACTACATGACCTAGAATAAGTTTTTATTTGGTAGTACATGCTAAAATTAGACTAGTTAGAAAAGAAAATAATATTTATCAATATATCACACATATATGGGATTTATAACTTATAAAACCAGTGTTGAAAATACTCCAGGTTAAATAATAATTAATATTGTTAATTCCATTTAATAAACTGAGTAGATGAAGGTATATATATATTTTACCTGGAGCAACTGTGCCATAGACCATGGTATTCCTTGTCACTCTTCATATCAATTTGTTTCGATTTATGCAAATTTTGAATGTCAAACAGGAAATCATCTGAGGTATCTCCAGAAGACCCATTTTCAAGCCCATCTGAATGTCCTATAAGATAATAGGCCAAAATTTTTTAAAAAAAATAAATAAATTAAAATAAACAATCATATATTATTGCTTAGTGATCTTATTAATTAAACAGCATAAACACAAACATATTAATCTTTTATATATTCAACCTGAAATAGCAGCAGCTCTATCAGTTGACTTCACCGTTCGATACATCTGCCCAGAAGGAAAAAGAAAAGTACAAAATTAGCCAATTGTAAATAATTAATTAAAATCAAGCAATTGACCAATTTATGAAACAAATAGAAAAACCTAAATTACAAATTAAAAACGGAAACTATAGAAAATAAAACAAATGTGAGTAATTGACAAAGAACCTTTTTGCATGTAGCCATCTACATACACCAAAATACATACACATGTGTCAATCATGTCTATCTTTTCGAGGTTAACCATGGTTAGTCAAATGTGGGTTACTTAAACCAAGGACCTGACATGTATCATTGTGTCATGATGGTGTTTTATGTACTTTCCTCTTCTTTCTAGCCCATAGCCTTAGAAAAAATAGGTAATAATATTTTGAAAGAGAAATAATATAAAGATGAAAATGTGTCTGTGTGTATACTACTTGTCTTCAACTGTTATTCAAACTCCTTGTGCCTTGTCTTATTACTCTCTGCCTTTTTTTTTTTCAGTATATTATTTTCTTGATATGTATAGTCTCACTTCTTATTTACGTCATCCTTTTCTATATCTTTTGATTTTTAAATTTAAAAACAATTAATGGGTAAAATATTGCCATTTCATCTACTCTACCAAGTGGCTTCAAAGTTTTAGCAATTAACTAAATCTTAGTGGTATTATAATAAAAAAGTAACAAATGATTTTATATGCAATTTTGGTAATTCAATTTTTAAGTTATTTGATAATGTAGCATGACTTAGCTATTGCTACCATAGTCCACAATTTAATTATTTCAATGGATAAGCTACTGTAGTAAATTTAATTACGGCTGTAATATTTAATCATGGACCTAAAAATCCAAGAACACACCACAGAGAAAAAGAAGAGTTCTGAAAAGAAAAAAAAAAAAATGC